TTATTAAGGAATTAAAAAAAAACACTCCACCACATAAAATACAAAGAGAAGAAAATATCTAGCCGGTGTTATGTATATTGATAGGATACTTCATTGAAATTTTAGTAGTCCGAAAGTTTAGAAATTCAATTATATTATATTACAATATGACGTCACAAAATTTGTAAACTGGGCTTAAGATATGGAGAACTATTTTTGAAAAAAACTTAACTTATCATCTTAATACATAAACAATCCGGATAATGTAATGAATATCACATTAAATGAGCATTGCGTACTAGTATTTATAATTTATATCAATTCAAAGTCATAATTATAATTGAACCATTAACTATAAAACTATAAATAACACTTACTCTACAAAAAACTGTTCAGTATAAGTTTGAATTCCTAAAAGTTATAATTATTACATTATTATCATTATTCAAATTCATATATACAGTATTTAAAGTGCATGATTTAGATTATCAATATTGCAAATTAGTCATTTATTGTAATATTGATATAAAAATATAAATTAGACTTACTCAAAAATACCTCATAATTATACATACAAAAGTGAATTACTGCTTATGTATAATAATTAAACATGACAGGCACTGTTATTATTATACAGCATAAATACAATTATTTAAACTGTACAATTATAACAATTAAAAATTATAATTATATAAATTTAATTAAAGTGAGTGATACACAAGCCATTTATCTATTGACCTTCAAGTATTATGAATTGAATTTTGTATAAAAAAAAACTTCTAAAAAGTAGTTTATGTTAATGCATAGCAGCGCTAGGGAGTGACGTCATTTTATTCATAAGAAAACACAATTTTGATGTTGGAAGTACATGATTTAGATCATCAATGTTGCACATTAGTCATTAATTGTAATATTGATATAAAAATATAAATTAGACTTACTCAAAAATACCTCATAATTATATATACAAAAGTGAATTACTGCTTATTATGTATAATAATTAAACATGATAGGCACTATTATTATTATACAGTATAAATATTACAATTATTTAAACTGTACAATTATAACAATTAAAAATTAAAATTATATAAATTTAATTAAAGTGTTGATACACATCCCATTTATCCATTGACCTTAAAGTATATATGAATTGAAATTCGTATAAAATAAAGTTCTAAAAAGTAGTTAATGTTAATGCATAGCAGAGTTAGGGAGTGACGTCATTTTATTCATGAGAAAACACAATTTTGATGTTACAGGATTTGTACCCAGGACCCTGGGGATGTTAAAGCAAACATTTTATCGACCAGGATAAAAATCCACTTCACTTGAATGTCTATACAACTAGGCCTATACTGTGATGACGACATTATTACATGCGTATTGCAATCATTTATGTTACAATACTAACATTGTGATCCATGTACTATTTTGCGTGTGTGTGTGTGTGTGTGTGTGTGTGAAGTGGTGGGGGGGGGGGAACTTGGTGTACCAGCTGTATGTACTGACGTAATCAGGTAAGTACTGTATGTTAGACTGGCTATCCATGCATTATGTAATTTCTTACATGCTTTTATTTCTCTGGAATCCTGACTTCATTTGGTAGTCTGTCAGATTTCGCCAGCCTTGATCAAACTTCCTGCATTGTGATTGTGACAAAATGATTGTATCAGATACTGTACTGATAAATACGAATTAGATTTGCAGGCTTGATGACGACTGGCATATCTGGTGTTACCCAGAAGTCTTTTGAGTAAGAACTACAGTAGTGCCGAATCAATGTAATGACAAATGTATTGATATAAGTTTTCTGCTTAAATATTTTATTTCTCTTCACTTCAATCAAGAATGTACCAACATCGGAATCTTTTAGTTTGGCTTGGCTTAACGAAAAACATCATCAGCTGAGTTCCGACATCACTAGTGAGTTAATTACACTGTGAAAAAATAAATCCAATTGTATTTTTAAATAATTAGGATTATTTTGCTAAACATGCTTAATAAAATCTAATTTTATTTGTTTATCATCTTCAGTAATAATTTTTCGGAGTTTATTTCATGCTATCTTATGTCAAATTTATCGGTAAACTCCTTAGCTATACTTGTTATACTTGCTAAATTAAAATTTACTGCAGCTTTAATGTTTAATCTTAGTGCATTTGTCTCTCTACCTGCACAACTTAAATAAATTAATGAATAGAATAAAGAAATACCTTCTGTTAGTGCTTTTAATACCAAACTGAGCTTAAGGATTTTCAGCGAATCAGTGAATTCCTTCATATTTTTTTCGCTGAGTATCTGTTGGTCTTCTAGATCGTTGATCATACTCCAGCCGTCTTTATACTTCTTAGAAGGCGTATTATACAATTGATCGATCTGCGTCACATTATCTGGGGTCAGTACCATTCCAAATTTCATTAGCCTTTGTCTGTGAGATGTGAATGTTTTTGAAATGGTTCCTTCCTCAACATCTGGGAATGATGGCAGTTTTTGTTTAATCTTGAATAAAAGACCAAACTGTTTGGTTATGCTAATAGTATCACACAGGAGTCCAAGATTCTGTGAACTCAGATGACCACGTGCAAATAATATATTCAGCAGGTCCATCGTGTGAGTTTCTGGTGATAGCTCGTAATTGTCCATCTTGTCTCTGAACAACACTTTTAGCAAAGGAACACTTTTGTTGCTGTCATACCATTGTGAGACAATAGTTTTTAGCTCTCGCAACTTCTTATCTGACAATGCTATGAAATAATTATACATTCAATATGTATATCATTTTCCATTTGTATTTTTTAAATTTAGATTTTTCATAAATATATATTTCAATATTAAATTTAATATTTTCACAGTTGCCGGGAGTAAATTGTTTGTTATTATATTATTAATTATTACAAGCATCCCTACAAATCATACAGTAAATAATTATAATAATATAATTCTAATAAAAAAAAATTGTGAAGTTTACAATTCTCTTCCATACAAACGTATAGTGATGCTGGGTCCACCACAATCAGTTCAGGTAGTTTTTTATTTTATAATTATCTAAAAACAGTAATTATCTAAACAAAGTTAAGGAAAAGATAATTTGAAAAAATAATATGAACCAAGAAACATCAAGTGGAACAATGCGATAAGTGCATGAAGATTATTCCTCTTATAAAAGACTATAGAACTACAAGAGGTCCAACTCTCGTGGTTTGGTTGAAACGTAATCCTATATTTCACATTCACAAAATAGTCGTTTCTAATCGGATTCAATTTTTTACAAGCCTCTGTTGTAGTTGGTTCAGTTGGTTAATGTGTTTGCGTATAAAGTAGGAAGACATCGAGGTCCACCTGCTTTATACGTTTTACAGTATAAGTGTATCTACCAACCTGTATTCATACCCGAGGATTGATGAGCCGTATCCGTAACTGAGGATTTATGTAGAATACCTGTAATTATATAAATAATTATTTGTTTCACATTATAGTTATGTACAAGTTTTGTTACAATTATTACACATACATTTAAAATCCTTGATAAAAATTGTGTTGCAGACCAGTGTAGGCCTACTTAATACAGTTGCTGTAGTCAATCTTGTGAAGGACAATACAATGCAAAAAATAGCCCCAACAAATAAAATAAAATTTAATTTAATTATAAAATTAACTGAGAAAATGTTCTTTCTTGACAACAGACTAATCTGTAAAATGACAAAATAATTTGGAAATCATTTAATCTTGAATTCTCTAATTGTGTTAACAATCGTTTCTCTACCTAAATTGGTATTTACCCCATTCAAAATTATCTAATCATTTTATGAATTATTATTTCAATAGCCCAAACACATACCAGCTGCAAATAGCTTCTGTACATTAGCTGCCGGCATCGCTATAAGTTCACCAGTTTTGTCACAAGTCATATTCTCGTTCTTTAAGCAGTACTCAAGTTCTTGAAAGTGTGGTTCCTCAGTGTTTGAACAGACTAAGCAAAGGATTTTCAGAGCATAACCGACAACTCTCTTAGATGGATATACCTCACCTAGGTGTTGCTTTAAAACCTGAAAAACCTGTAAAATGTAATACAAATGTTTTACTTCAAATTCAATTATAATATGATTAGCCATTTGGTATCAAATCTAAATTAAGTAAAATCTCAGATCACCAATGATCAGTCAATGACATCATTACCTTCTTACAGACATCAGGATGCGGCTTGCAAGCTGACTTGTTTGTGCCGTCTGCGCCTCTCTCTTTCATCCGTGATATTTCAAGCTTTAAAATGAAAAAAAAATTAATTACAAACAATATTCAAAACACTGAGTTGTATAGTGTATTTTTTTTGTTTAATCATGGAGTGGAGCTGTTGCTTAGCGGTTAAGATACTTGTTTTAAAAGAGGAATATCCATCAAAAACGTCAACGGTGACCCTATAATTAAAAAGTAAATAAACAGAATAATAATGAAAACATACTGTACATA